TCAGAGAAATAAACTCATTTTACTTTATAAGAAATGACGCAGAACTTTGATGAATAATTTTCCTTATTTATGAGAAACATAGCATCTAGTTCAACAACTGGAGCTTTTAGAACATATATAGGATCACCAAGGATCTTTCTGATAAGAACACACATCATGATAAACTAGAATGGGACAAATTTGGCAGATAGAGGGAGCATCTATGCAAGGAAAAACATGATTACTCAAGGAGTTGTAGGTCCCACAACCACCAAGCAAATTAACTGGCTAAGGAAAAAATAGTTATATATTTATATTTTTTATATATTTTATATTCTATATGTAATTCAAACAAATAAAAATATGTATATCCAGAATATGTAAAGAAGTGTCAAAACACAACAAAAAAGAAACACATTTTTTACATGGCCAAATATCTAAATACATGACTTTACCAAAGGCAATATACAAATGGCAACTAAGTGTAGTAAAAGATCTTCAATATCACTGGTTTCTAGGTAAACTAAATTAAAGTCAATGGAATCCTCTAGCTAATAAAATGACTAATATTTAAAAATCAAAACTTGAAAATGAAATACTCAAGAGGAGGTGGAGCAAGAGAGACTCACACATGGCAGATAGGGAAAATAATGGTAGAATTTGACATTTCTTGTGATATTAAATACACACATAACAACAACAAATCTCTACAATCCCACTTCTAGTTATTGTAACCAAGTAAAGTGAAAATTTACATTTGTTACAAACACATCTCTGTTAATATGCATAGAATCTTTATTCAGAATTGCTATAAACTGGAGATCACCCAAATGAACCTAAAAGAAAGTTACAAATACAAATAAGAAAAGAATTAGTTAATATGCTGTAGACAAAATCCATCCATAATATTTTACTTTTCTTTCCTATTCATAGTTGTAACCATATTTGTTTTAATAATTTTTCTTCTGGGTATTGTAAAACAAAGACCAAAACTACATATTCATATATTATCTTTCCTTTACTTTGCATATCGGCAACTGATAAATAGTATCCCTTCATTCACTTGGGAAAAATATGATTTCAGTCTTGAATTTCAAAATGAACTAAAGTTAAGATAAGGTCTTATCATTAGTAAACTCTTAAATAATAAGTTTAAGGCAGTCTTCAGTATTCAATGGCATTATTTTAAAAAGCTATATTAAAATATTCATTTACTTCTTGATTAAATTGTATACTTAAGGTTTAATCAGTTATGTTCTGTCAGACTTATGTATGTGTCTATAAACCATTATGGAAAATACTGATATAAATGAAAGATCTGCTAAATTTTGTGAAACCACATAAATTGTTACATTTGTGAGAGGTATGTCATGGTTTTAAATTGTTATTCTATGCCTGGGTTTTCAATACTGTACTGGTTTTGCAATGCATTTCAACAATTCAGGTCCACCTGGAAACTGAAGATGACCTTCTTTGGAAACAGGGATTTTGCAGATATCAAGTTAACATGAAATCAGTTCTATAGATTAAGACCATTTCCACTTGTCTTCATTTAATTACAGGTATTGTATAAAGAATAGTTTTAAATGATTCTGGCCTACAGACAAACACATATAATTATTTTTCCAATGATATTTTTAATTAAACATGAGCATGCTTAAAGCATATTACTCAAGTATTGATTCTGATTATTGATAAATTTCTGTGACATACATGAGTTTAATACAGGTGTTCTTTTTGATAGTTTCTTTCTTATGCATATACTCTGTATTTCTTAGCTTTTTTTCTTTATCATAGCAATTTTATGTATTAAATAATTTCATCTCTACCAAAGAAACAATGATCTATCCAAATTTTGATTGAATTTTAAATATTTATATACATGGATACCTGATAAGCATCAACTAAATAAAACTATAAAAATGATGATGGGAATGGAGTCTTTTTAGTTCAAACCAGTGTGTAATAAGATAAACTGTGAAGGAATATTGTTTGCGATGGACTTGGATAAGTCACTATGAGATTTTTAAATAATATAAAATTCTCACTCAGTAAGAGTGAAAAAATAAAAACTAAGTTTGAATTCAACTCATAATAAATATGCCAAAATAATTAGTAAATGAATAAATGGTAGTAATGATAACCATGACCAGATTTTCTATGTTATCAGTCAGAGAAACTGTAAAACCTTAAAAGGTAACCTTATATCTTTTGTGATGTAGAATAATGGAGATTGCTTTAGGCCATTCTAAACCATCACAATGAATTCTTAATTTTTCTCTAAAATAGAAAATCTCATGCTTTCACAGTTTTGTATGCTTCTAGAGTGTTAATCTCTATTGATCTATTCTTTTGTTTCTTCTCCTTGTGAAATCATAGATTATGAAGAAAATGGAAATTGTTCTAAGCCTTCCTGAACTTTGATTTCAGACCACTATCACCAATGTATTTCATTTGAAATTAAATACTAATTTGGACTACTGTTTAGCACTTCGTGTCCTGAGAACACCAGTCTCCACGGTGCCTTTTGTTTATTCATTCAACTAATTCCCTTGAGCCCATTGTAAATAAAGAAGATAAAATTAGGGCTCACCTGAATAACATTGCTTCTGTACAATAGGTTATATCATCTTGTCCATTAGGCTTGGGAAGACACTACAATTAGCCTTCACTTCAACCTAACTTATTTCAAGTATCAAGATAATACTTGTTTAAGAGACATAGGTAGGATAACCTGGGACCTTCCATCCTTAGTATATTTGGGTACTGTATGCAAAAAGATTAATGTGTGCCATTCTTGTGAACACTGTAGAGAAGCTCTTGTAATTGTTCTTTAATTAACGTTTTGAGTATCTGGTTACAATTATAAGATGACAGAGGAAGAGCAGATTGAAAAGTTCTTGAACAATTCCAAAGTAGGCATATTTAGACAAATTAATAAGTCATTAGGAAGGTCGTTTGACTAAAGCAGTCTTATTTACCACAAAACTAAGTATGTTTTTGAAGAATATAATATTTCTTTAATAATATACACTTTTATTTATACAACCAATTTCCGTTATATACATTGTATATAATTAAAATGAAACCACACAAATTCCATGAAACATATAAGTGAAAGACAATTTTAAAAATGCTGTAAGTCAATAACATCATGCAATACTTTTGTTCACTATAGCATAAATATTTAGTGACTGATAGAAATATATGATCTGTGTATGTGTGTGTGTGTGTGTGTGTGTCTAGATATCAGGTTACAATCATTTGTACTATAGTCAATGCCAGAAAATTTAGGAATAATATTTGAACAAAATCCAAAATAATTTACTTGATAGTTTTTAAGATAGAGTATATAAACTTCATATTTTACTTTGGTTCAATGTGGATTTTATATACAGTGATCAACATCCATCATATAAAAGTAGAAGACAAAAAGCTGCCTATCCTATGAGAACAAAGAGAGCAGATAATGAAAAGTTGGAATATATTTTTACAGATAAAAATTGGGGTAAAATTGATTCAACTATTAAACTAGTTCTCTAATCCTAAAGAAATGTTTTTCTGTTCTATAGCGCTAATAACTGTGGAAAACATAGAAAGCAAAAGAGAAATATAGACTTAGAGAATTTGGATACTTAAGAATTTTGAAAATGATCTTATATGAAAGTATAACTAAAGAATTTAAATAACATTTAATATGAACAAACAAATTTTGTGTGACACCAAGAGTGATACGAGATGCAAAACAAAAACAAAAAAATAATAATTTTTGCCTCCTCAAACCTTACCTTGAATGTTGAATTATCCCATTCATCATCCACAAAAACAGAAGAAGTAATATGGGAAAGTGCTTTATTGTTTGGAAAATAAGACAAATAGGAGTGCCTCCAGTTTACAAAAGTAAAATTGGTGAAAATTTAAGTACTGCTTTATATAACAGAGGCCATTTGAACAGATTGGTAGTTGTCTTGCAGTACAAAATTTTGAACTTAGACTGGTAGTATCCTCCTATATATCGGATATTTCCATATATGATTATCATGGACACATTGCTTTGGATGACTGAGTTATCTTCATAGTTTGTAAAGGTTTGAATGGAGGAAGAGAAAGACATCCTTTAAAGTAAAAATATTTTTAAATAAAGAGGAAAGTAACATCAAAAAGTCACTCCAGAGTACTGTGCTATACTGGGAGTGAGTTCTCAAGTGTATTTTTTTAAAGATTTTAATCTTTTTCCTTTTTTTCAAAAAATATATTGAAATATTCAGAAGACAGAGATTCACACTAAAATTATGAGAATATAATGAAGGAAATAAAGGAATAATTAATATTTGTAATAACAGTTTTTAAAAAGTATTTTGTATTAATGTACTACAAAATTATTTTTCTCTGAAACGAAAGGCAGCAGTTGTTTTAAAATTGTGTGTGTTTACCTGTTTTCCTTTTTCTTGTATATGTTTAAGGTGTATAATCATGTTATATATGTGTGTGGATATATATATATATATATATATGTATTATATATATATGTGCATATATATATGTAGTGAAATGATTGCTACAGTCAAGCAAATTACCCCACCCATCACCTTTCTGTATATTTTTTGTCACAAGAACACCTAAAGTCTGCTCTCAATGCAAATTTTTAGGATACAATATAATATTAACTATAGTACTCATGTTGTATATTAATTCTGTAGTTCTATTTATTTCACAAATCTGTACCCTTTGAAGATTATATATATATATATATATAAACTATAGCATAATACATAAAATTATTTATATGTATATACATCTACATACACAATGGAATATTATTCAGCTTTATAAAGGAGATACTGCCTCATTGGCATTTGTGACATCATGGATAATCTTGAAGGATGTTATTCTAAGTGAAATAAACCAGACACAGAAAAAAAAAGTTTTTCTACTTGTTTCTTTATTAGGGTAATGGATTTCTTATTTCTTCACCTACTTTAGAATTAACCTAGAGGACACCTTGATAAAGAGAAAAAATAATGAGAAATTCCACTGCAGTAACATATTTTATTCTTCTTGGACTGACAAACGACCCACAGTGGCAGGTTGTACTTTTCGTGTTTCTTCTTGTTACCTACATGCTAAGTGTGACTGGGAACCTGATCATTATCATCCTCACCCTTTCAGATCCTCATCTGCAGAATCCCATGTATTTCTTCCTTCGGAACTTCTCCTTCCTAGAAATTTCATTCACTTCTGTCTGCATCCCCAGATTCCTTGTCACTATTGTGACAGGAGACAGAACCATTTCTTACAACGGTTGTGTGGCTCAGTTATTTTTTTTCATCTTCTTGGGAGTGACAGAATTTTACCTCCTGGCTGCTATGTCCTATGATCGCTACGTGGCCATCTGCAAACCTCTTCATTACACGACCATCATGAGCAGCAGAGTCTGCATCCTTCTTGTCTTTAGCTCATGGCTTGCGGGATTCCTGATCATCTTTCCACCAATCCTCCTTTTGCTGCAGTTGGATTTTTGTGCCTCCAATATAATCGATCATTTTATCTGTGACTCTTCCCCAATTCTGCAGCTTTCTTGCACAAACACTCACTTTCTAGAACTCATGGCGTTCTTTTTAGCTGTGGTAACACTCATGGTCACCTTAACATTAGTTATTCTCTCCTACACAAATATCATCCGGACAATTCTGAAAATTCCTTCTACAAATCAAAGGAAAAAAGCCTTTTCCACTTGTTCCTCCCACATGATAGTTGTCTCCCTCTCTTATGGCAGCTGCATCTTCATGTACATTAAGCCCTCTGCAAGGGAGAGGGTGACGTTAAGCAAAGGAGTAGCTGTGCTCAACACTTCAGTGGCTCCTCTCCTGAACCCCTTCATATATACACTAAGAAATCAGCAAGTAAAGCAGGCCTTCAAGAGCATGGTCCAGAGGATGGTATTTTCTGCAAATTAATGAATGTGAGTATGTGGGAAAATGGACCTCTTGAGGCAAAACTGAATGAAAAAATACATAAATTATTTCAAATACTTCATTTCACTCCGTTGATAAGGCATATTTGTATATCAAATATTTATATAACCTCTTGCTCCAGTTAGCCTAAAAACAGGTTCTTAACTATTTTAAGTTAATATATAGATCTTGTACCTGTGTAATTAAATTTTAGGTAAATCAATAATCCCTACTGTTTCTCATATCAAATGAAGATAGATTGTGAATTTACTCACAAAATAGATTATTATAAAATAATAAGTTTACTAAAACAACAATTAAGTATAAAACTTATTTTTTATTAAAAGGATAAAATTTGTATCTTAATTGCTCTAAAATTCCTTTTTGATGTGATCAAAATATGTTATTAAACTAAATTCTTTTCTAAATGAATTTATCAATAAAATGTAGTAAAATGTGTGGATACATTAAATAGAAATTTAAGATAAAATGTGTTTTCACAAATATTATCTCTGGCCGGGCAAGATGGTACACAGCTGTAATCCCAGCTACATGGGAGGCTAAAGCAGGAGGATTGCAAGTTCAAGTCCAGCCTAAACAATTTAGCAACACTTTATCTCAAAATAAAAAGAACTGGGGGTATAGCTCAGTGGTAGAGTGGCCAGTACCAAATTCCCAGTACCAAAAAAAGAAAAAAAGAAATGAGTTTCTCTGTTGTTTAATTTGAGGCTGTCCTGATTTTTATATTATTTTTCCTTGGGGGAAGTGGTGGGTGGAATGCAGCAATATTTAGAAGAGATGATATTTACTTTATTATTTTCCCTTGGTAATATTTTCCCTAAAATAAATGATTTAATTCAGAATTTCTCTGTTTCTGCCAATCAAATTTTTAAAAAGGAAAAGTATGGTCTATATATATATATAAAACTTATTTGATATGAAATGCTTAAATATGTATCTTAATTTCTCTAAAATGCTTTCTTTGATATGACTAGAAATAAAGAAATTGTTATTGTCAAAAATTGTTTTTCTGAATGGTGTTTAGATTCTTTCAACTGATACAAAATTGTTTTTTCCTACTGATGTGATGAAGAAAATAACAAAGACTCTAGAATGGTGTGGTATTCACTCTATAGAATGGCTTGGAAATGGTGATATCTGAATTCTGAATGCATTAGTTTTCCTCTATTAGTCAATCTAAAGTACTGTCTTCATCCTTCTGTTGTCTCTTTCACAGAAGTTTCCATTCTCTTCACTCATTCAAAAAAATGATTTTTTTTAGCTTAATGAGCTTATTCCATTATTTTATAATTATGTCAAAGAAACGATTTTGGAGGTAGTTGAGAATTGTAAAACAAAAAACAAAAAAACTTGTTCAAGCACAGTTGCTATAATTAATGATTCCCTCAAGCCCAACGTATCGAAGAAAATTTGTTATCTTGGGACAGTAGCTATGAGTCCAACTAGATACAAGTAAGGGACAGGTTTTGGTTTCTTGATTTTCAACTTGGTCTGATATCTGATTAATGTAAAGAGCTCTATGTGTTTCCTAAGTCCATAACAGAAATACTTTTTCTCCTATACAATAATGTCTTTTAGCACTCAGCTATTTTTTTTTTTACCACTGTGCTTTCATGGAAGGGCCTACACTATTTTTCCCAAGCAAATTCTAATATAATGTTTCCACAAAGTGAAAAGTAAATGATAGTTGTATTTGATTATGATTTTTTTATTGAGGAATTTGTAAAGAAAGAAAACAGTGCTTTTGTAAGATTATAATAAGTAATCAGAAATGAGAAACTGAAAATCATAAATGTGAAAAAGCAATATGTTGAGTAAATACATGTACACAATAGTTAGATGATACAGATTGGAAAAAAAGAGAGTAAGGTAAAATTGATCACATTGACTGACAAACACATCTGAAGAAGTTGACTATAACAGTTGATAAATATAAATACATAAAATTACTATAAATTCTTCCAAAATTAATACAATTGACCCTGAACAACATGGCTTTGAATTTCCTGGGTCCACTTACATGCACATTTTTTGGAGATTTGTGACAATTTGAAAAAAACTTGCCGACAAACTACATAACCTAGAAATATTTAAAAAATTAAAAGAAAGTTATATCATGAATGCATAAAATATATATAGATAATAGTCTAGTTTATCATTTACTACCACAAAACATATGCAAATATATTATAGAAACTTAAAATCTATCAGAAATTCTGCACATAAACACAATACATGGTACTATTTCCAGTGAGGAGACATGTAATCACAAGTAAACGATGCATGAAATGAACCGTAGTAATACTATACTACTATACTATAATACTATACTACATACTCATTTTGTAGCCATCTCTTGTTGCTATTTTAGGGAGCACAAGTATTGCAAGTACCCTCTTAAAACACCCTATGATGCTAATCATTTCCTCATGAGCAGTTTGTTGACTGTTCATGTACTCAGTAAGGCCTCCAATTAGCAGCAGGTTATCAGTAATTAATCTTTGGGAGAATTAATATTATACATTAATTTTCAACTCTTCAGGGATTTGTCAGCCCTAACCCCAGAATTATTCAAAGTTCAGCCTTATACTCTAAGGTGAAATAGTATTGTAAAGTATTGTAAAACAATGAAATTCTGATTGCTGAGGTTTTATGAAAAATGTACCAGACAAACATTGATGATCATTTTTATAGACTTTCAATAAATTATTTATAGTAATTTTTATTGTTCACACTGTAATATTTCATTAAAAAGTCTTCCTTCAAGCATATGTAAATTTTATGTATGTAGCATTCACTGTCTCATACTGTTTTTGTAATCATTGGACAATGTCACATTATTGTTTGTATGATACAAAAACGTATACATAGTCATTTGATTTTCATTAGTGAATAATCATCTTGGAAGTTGATTCTAGCAAAGTTAAATGGTTGCTAAGAATGAAAACTCCTTAACATTATCTCACATTGGAATTTCCTTAATTCTCATTTCCATGAAACATTCCGGAAGTTCTAGATACTAAAAAATACTCCACAAAGCAATATTCATACACCGAGCATTGAATCACTTGAAATTATAACAGGTGGTGATTGGCTAAAACAAAATTATAATCATTAAGATCTGGCACTAGGGATCTAGCTCAGTGATAGAACACTTGCCTAGCTTGCCTGAAGACCTGAGTTTAATCACCCTTACTGCAAGAAAAAAGTGAAAGAAAGAGACAGAGAGAACAATGAGAGATTATCACCCATGAAGTCTAAGTAACAATCATACAACCAGGCAAATTTGGAAGAGTCTTAATTGTATGTGTGTCTGTATATGCACACTTACTTGGAAAGGTGAAACAAAGAGATAATTTAATTAGAATAGAAAAAAGAGGATGGGAGTTATTTTTAAACATTGCATGGCATTTTGTGTCTCATTTTGTACTTAACTAAACTCCTCTAAGTTAAGAATACATGCCTTAATGCTTTTATTTTTCTTTTTTTTTTTCTTTATTGATACCAGGGATGAAACCCAGGGGCACTTAACCACTGAGTCATGTGGTAAGCCATTGTTATAGATCGTGGCGGCCATTAGAAGATGGCGCCGGCTTCCACTGTGGCCTGTGGTAAACAACTCCTTTTATGGAGAGTTGGCGCACAATCCCTTACCACCCTATGAGAGAGATCCACGTGGCGGCTTAGGATTGGGATGCGGGGGGCTTTATTATGCTGTGCTTGGGTGTGTCGGGCGCCGGCGCTAGAAGATGATACATGACTCAAGGCCTGAATAAACTGTTGAAAGAAGAATCCTGTGTCGTGTTTCCCTGGCTGGCGAGGGGTCGCGACAATTGGTGGCCCGTATGGGGAACCATATTCCTCGAACCCAGGATCCAGAACTTTCAGCAGTCAGGGTGGTGCACCGGTAAGTTCCCAGGTAAAGTGGGAATCCGCAAGCTAATAGCGGGACGCTCCTCTGTAAAGAAAGAGAGAGCGGAGCTTTTGTACTTTCACTTTCTTTATAGCTCTGAAAACATTATGGGCGCTACCTCTTCAAGCCCAATTTTGTTGGCCCTAGATGGGTTGCTACGTTCAAAAGGACTTAAGGTAAAGCAGAGTACTTTGCAGATGTTTTTGAGAGAAGCTGATATAGCGGCTCCTTGGTTTGCCTTTTCAGGGAGTCTTACGATTCCTAGCTGGGACAAGTTAGGGAAAGATCTAGATTTCGCTCGTGAGCAAGGCACCTTAGAGGGTGGTGTTATACCACTTTGGAAGTTAGTTAGAGGATGTATAGTAGATAGTAAATGCCAAGAAGCTGTGAGTGAGGGTCAAGCTGTTCTTGAGCAACTACATGAGGAAAAATCTGAAGGATCACATAGTGAAGTGGCAGAGAGTATTAAGAGTAAGAGTAGTGAGAAGGCAAAAGAGCCTGAAAATAAAAATAGGAGAAGGCTCTACCCAGACTTGACCGAATTAAAAACGCCTGAGAACACAAGTGACTCAGAGAGTTCTGAGGACCTTGATATATTGTTACAACAACTACGTAAGATAAAAATGAAAAAGAAGAAAAAGGAGACACAGGGCACGCAGGCCTACTGTAAGAAGGGGAAGAGAGTTAACATCGGTCAACAAAACTCTGAGGAGGAGGAGGTAGAATATCTAGAAGAAGATATGGTGCCGGTTGCCCCACCTCCGTATGTGGGGGGGAGCCAAGGTTCCGGGAGATCTTTTCATGCACAAGTTTGGAGGACAGTTAATACAGATATGGGACTTGCATACCCTGTATTTCAGGACAATAACAGGGGAAGATATCATGAGCCTTTAGACTTTAAGATAATTAAAACCTTGGCAGAATCTGTCCGCACTTATGGCATAGATGCCGCTTTCACTCTCACTCAGGTGGAGGGACTTACTAGATTTTGCATGACTCCCTCAGATTGGGCTAGTCTAGTCCGCGCTTGTGTTTCCCCAGGGAAATATTAGGAGTCCAAAGTTGGCTG